TGGCAAGGACATTCAATCCAATTCTTCAATTTATCAACGACTTCTTTGACTATTTTTTCCAAAACATCAACAGGACAGGACTCGTTGACAAGTACATAACCTAATGGTTGTTTCCACCCTGCAGAAGCAATTCTTAACATGAGAACAAGATCAGATGTTGCAAATTTGTTTGTTCTGTACTCACCACCAAAGTCTTCCACACCTACTATGTTGTCGTCTGTGAGATTGTAGTAAAGGAGTGTCTTTAAAGATAGCTCATCAACACATAATGTACAAGTCTTTTCATTTCACTCATATGTAGCACTTTCTCTTTTAATAGGTTTAATGTTGCCTGTGGTATGCCTGTTTTCATAGGAATTCTTGAAACAAATCTTCTTATTGATGTCATTGATTGCAGAATAGAAAGCTTTGATAGAAGCTTGTATGCTTTTCCACAAGCATGGCATTAAGAAACAGGTAATGATCGTAATTCTGGTGAGTATCTTTGACCATGTTTCTTTTTTGAGTGGAGCTTTATTTGTAGCCTTATAGAACTGGCTAGGTGCTCAGGCAGGTTTTTTAGTGCAGCTTCTAATGTGCATTCAATATCCTTCTCTTTCACCAGATTTTATTATCTTCTTGCTCAGCCTTCGTATTTTTTATTCTTAGTTTGAATTTTTATTGTTTGTTTTCTCTTTTTAGGGGTGTTATTTGAGAGAGATCGGTTTGTTTGACCACTGAAATCTCGTTTTGAGCACTCAGGTGCGTTGTGTAAAGAAAATTTGTGGTCATTGAAAAACTTTGTTAACTAGCTTATGTGTAAAGTCTTAATGTAATCTAGCTGTTGCAAAGCCATTACACCTTACCTTCTTTATTTTCAGTTGATTGATTCATGGAATATTATACATTTGGTTGCCTTCAGTTATTTCATTTTCTTCTATAAAGAAATGTGCAGCTACAGGGTTAGATGCCACATAAAAAATTTGGAAAAGCTAGACTTTCCAACCTTCCATCTCATCAGTATTAAAACTTTCTTCATGCTTATTGTCGCACTCTTTGCTAAGTTGCTCTTCTCTTATTTCGTCAAAATGTTTGAATTAAGTCAGTATCAACAATTTTATGTACATGGTATTGCATGTCACCAACTAACCCATAACATTGGCTATTTCTTCATGTCGAGATTTCTTTGCTGTAAGCAAAATTTTTTATAATCATTCAGTTCTCCCTGTTTCTTTTTCTACTTCAATCTATATAGCTTGCTAAGTAAATTATATGTAAAATTTTTAAGAATTCTTTTCCTTATTTTTTGTAAAAATAGTGTTTCATTGTTTTATTTAAACTTACTTGAAATCTATTGGAATATATAATGCGAAAAATTACTTATTTACCCGATGGAACATATTGAATTTCTTTTTATTCAATTGCCCTTCGTTTTTTCCCAATTTGGGGTGGAGGATTAGGAATTTTGAATAGAGTTGGCTTACTCTGAAGATTTAATCTCTTCTTTTCCATGCTGGTGAACATGCCGTCCTCAAAATGATCTGCACACAGTTTACAATTCTTGTAGATACTCTGCACTTTTGCCTAAAAGATCTTCACTACGACAATTTGTTTACCCATTCCTTTTATCTGAAATACAAAGAAAAGCATAAATAAAAACTTAATTGTGCAAGCAGCATCACATAAAATTTCCATAAGACTTGCAAACAAAAAATACCCTTACCTCTCTGGATCCTTTGGAAAACGAAAAAAACTTAAATTAAGACGAGTTCGTTTGCTGTGTGTGCAGTTGATGGCAGCACAATGAGTTCTTGACCCACCTTTAGTTTGTTCTCTTTTGCCATGAAATATTTGTGTATGAATGACGCAGAGAGTAGTACATAAAAACCTTGCAATAACTGTATAGCTTTCCATCACAAAATGAATGGTTGTCCTGGTTACTAATTAAACATGCAAATTCACACAGTGAAAACTTTCTAAGTTTTTTATTAAAAAAAAGAGTTAAAAAGAACTTTATTGGTAAACATATACAGATTTGACAAAGAAGATGAAATTACAAAGTTTCAATTACAATGATAAAGATGCAATGCAAGATAACAAGTCAAAAAACCTGAGTTCAAACATCAAACGTAGAAGTACTTTAATGTTTTATAAAGATAGTCATCCACATTCTAAAATACCTGCGTCTTCATCACAAAAACATTCTTCATGTAACAGTAGGTCGTGTAATGTCAACTATTAAGTAATAAATCTGTTGACCATTCTATTAAGGAAATCTATTGTAGAAAATAGAAAGAAAAGTAATAAGGCAAAATACATTAAAAAAACTTTTATTAGTCCTAAACGACAAATCTACTGTGAAATTGCCTTCAATATCATACACGTTGTAAAAACATTGATCTCGTAACCAATACAATTCAATGAAAGAAACTTATAAAACCTTAGAATACGAACATAGATTGTATCAAAACTATTTCTTACCTTATTTCCTTTATATCCTGCTTAAAGGCATTAAAATTGTTGTCCATATGTGAATCAAAACCCGTCAAGCTTACGAAAAACAACTCTCCATAATATTATTCTATATACATTCTGGCCAGTTTATCTGGCTGAGTAATGGCGACGCAAAAGATGCGCACTTAAGAACTGGGTACAAGCACTGATATGTAATACAAGCACTAAGCTTAAGTTTTTCGTAATGTATGCACGAACGAAATATAATTGAAATTGGTGATTGCCTGCTAAGCTTGCATTTGTCTTGTATCCTGAGCTTTTTAGTTATGACTATCTTCATGACTTATTTGCAGGGTTTTGTGAAGACTATGCCTCCGATGATTCGCGAGTCAATTGCAATTTGCAAATACGCACGGAATGAATTTTCAATTTTTTTATTTTTCACATGCGCTCATTATCTAAAACTGAACAATCCATATGTTTATGGTGGCAAATAATTATTTAACCATATGCAGCATTTTATAACTCTCTATTCCACGTTTTACCCCTATTCCGCTTCAGCCATTCCTCTTCCGTCTTTCCGCTTCAGCCATTCCGTTTCCGCGTTTTACTCTACCCTTGTAAAATTGCAGTGAAAATCGTAAGACTCACTGATATGTATATTAGACTGGATAACGCTTCTCTTGCAAAAATTGAAGCCGGAAAATCGATCATTTGCTACTGGCTTCATGGGGGGTGTCGCTCCTACTTTACTATACTTTTGTATTACAAAATCACAGTTTTCGCGTTTTTATTCCTTTTCAAACTTCTGATTAAGGCAAAATCTTTATGACATGTAGAGGAAAACTGGTAGAGAGTTTTAACCCTGAAGCTCTGTTTTTTTTTGGCTTTGTAACGACTGAAAACTTTCAAATTTCAATACAACTTGCCATCTTAAGGTGACGAGGACCATTTCAGGTGTGCGAGGCAATTTTAGAAGATGAATACTTAAATTACAAATTTACAACAAAGTAAGAACAAAGATATTCATATCTTCAATATATTCATCGATATTTAAGTTGTTCACATAGGAACTGGTTGAAAACTTTGCTTCGCTTAATGACAACAGAGGTACTTTAATTCGCATATTTTGATGATGTACATCTCGTAGAATTTCATGATACCGTTTTCAACTTACTGTTGTTCATCAAAATGTCTTTCTGATTATTTTTCCATGTCGATTTGTTATGTTTCTTCACTGATATAATAAAGACGTAATTTGAAATTATTATGATGTTAGAGATGTGAAAAACAAAGTGCTGTTAAATAAGTAAATTTGTAGCAACCTTCCATAAACGTCATTGCAGATGAAATTATGGTAGTAGTAGTAGGATTCTGTAATATTTCTACATTTTTTAAGAAGCAGCAGTATCATATAATCTCCAGTTTGTTTCGAAACAATGAGGGTCGACCTTGTACCATCTTAATTTTCTGCCATTATAAAGCCAAGAAGACAAACTTTTTAGGATTAAATCTTTGCCAGTTCTTCTGTTCCTTTCACAAAAATCTTGTTCAGATCAAAAGTTTATAGAACGAATAAAAACGCTAAAACTGTGATTTTGTAATACAAAAGTATAGTAAAGTGAGACCGATACCCCCCGAAGGTCATAATCAGATCAGCCAACTTCTGGCTTCAATTATCTTACTATGTTTTATACATGGATGCGTTGTCCAGTGTAAAATACATATCAGTGGTAAGACTGCACTTGAATGAATTAATATTTCCAGATATTACAACTCTTAGAAAATACGTCGACATGTATCGTCCAATCGTTATCCTAGAAGAATGCATAATTAAATATGATATCTTCGATCAGTTTGATGACACAGTTCGATGAAGAATTTTGGTCTGTGAGAAAGATCTGGTCGTAAGCGGTGGGAATCGAATCGCGAATAATTACTGAATACATCGTATTCCAGAGAAACGGTAAGTTATTGATGATGTGTTTGTACTGAAAGAGAAGTTAACTTTTAAATAAATATAAGGATACATATCGTTGTCAGACTAAGAAGTAATTATCCCATTTTGATTTTTGAAATTGTGGAAATGTTCATGTCAAAACTGCGTAAGTCTATAATCGCTTTGTTTATTTTACAATTATATTCATTAAAATTTTGAGTTTTGAAGCTCATTATCCAGAGTTGTTTTTCGTCGGTGTCAAAAATTGGCTATTCTACAGCTGCGCGTTCGTCCTTAAATATTTAATATTGTCATTACTAAGTATTAGTTACCGAAATTTTGGCGACAATCCGCCAAAGTTTTTCAAAATATGCGATTACCTGTTATCAGAATGATTACGGACTACACGAGACAAACTTTGCTAAACATTTAACATAACGTCGGTTTCATCTCTTAGGCTGCATTTGCACTATACCAGATTCGCTGATCACGACATCTTCATTTGCTTAACTGTTAAAGGTTAACTGTTCGGAGTAAAAGCTTATTAAACTGATAGATTTAGTCAATTCGATTGTGTTTCCGACGTTGAGCAAGTTCACTGCCTTTTAATACAAAGAATATTCAACCTGCTACGATAGCAATTCGGTTTATAGAGTAAACGGGGCCGTAGTTTCACTCATAAATCAACGAGCGGAAGATAATCACGAGTTATAATATGTAACTCGATATGCAACATACTACGACGGAGTCTTTGTCAAACTTAACTACGACGGAGAAGCACGTAAGGTTTCAGTTGAAAAAGGTATTTTTAAAAACACTTTACTTAAGTAAAATTTCAACATGACTCATAATTTAATAATTTTTGTTCATGTTTTACAACTTATCATGTTATCACATACTTAAATCGGGATTAAAAGTTTGATTGTAAAAATATCTGGAATGCCTTGCTTTGTTTTGAGAAATGTTTGGCAATAGTTCGATGTACTAGAATTCTCACATGGAACGGCTCTTATATCCACATAAAAGCGGGCAAGCTATTGAATTCAATTGAAATATAGTTTTATACCAGTGTTATACTGAAAAGTGTTCGTCTGTTTGTGTGTGTGTGTGCACATGCAGTAATATCATATTTCGGAATATGTAAAATTTTAATAACGAAAGTAATATATTGCGCGTCATTTACGTTCAATGTTTATGATATTCTTTAATTTTCTAAGCTTTTGAGCGTATAATCCGCACTCTGTTTACTGGCGATAGTCAAAACTTAGCAGCTGAAGATATAATTCATTTATTTGTATGCTTTAGTGGTGATTTCAGACGTCAAATATATATCATTTGGGCGAAAAATACAAGAAACTTGATACACTTTGTAGTGTGCACTCAATGCTTGTAATTTGATCGGTATTCATAAGTCGCGTTGTTTATCTCTCACCCTGTTTGTCAGTGTTTGGGTGTGGGGAATGTAAAGCAGATAGGATATAGTTTTCTTTATATTTATTTCAATTAGTAATGATGGCGATTTAGAATTAACTGATTGTCAAAAATGAAGAAGAATTCATCTATATGATTAGAGTCAAGCTATGGTCTTATAGAAAATAACTACATCAGCAATGATGTATTTACCATGTGCAATACCTTCGCTTTTGAACAATAAACATAAAAATTCAACCTGGAACAGAATCACCGACAATATATAGTCCTAAAGTAAATGGTTTTAACCCGGGAGTATCGTTACATGTTTGTAAATGTAGATCGTCCAGGTTGGTATAGTCCTGAGAAGGACTTTTTTTGTTGTTGTTGACTGACGTTTCGACAACCTTAGCGGTAGTCATCTTCAGAGTCAAATGAGGAGTAAACGTCAGGTTAGCCATTCTTACAATGACGTAAGAACCAGATAACAAATGCGTAACAGATAGCTAGCTGCCGCCAGTAATCTATTTAATGAAAATTACAGCACCTAGTTGCCCAATAAAGTGGAGCTACTGACTACTGTTTGTTCCGTATACTGTGCTGTGGTCAAGGCTACCCACATGGACACACTGTGCACCTATTTTTATTATTGCTCTATTATACTCGTAACATTGAGTTATGTTTAAACGACCAACAAACCAATCAACTTTGTCATCGAGTGAATTTATTTAAAAAGTTTAGTTAGAAATTGAAGCAATATTATTTGAGAAAGCATTTTAAATAAACGACAAAATTTTTAACCTTTAGCATGTTTCGACATTAAGTCATCTTCAGTATGAGAATGAGTTAAGCATTTACAATGTTGAATGTATAATAAAATACACGATATGTCTTAATTAATAAATCTAAAAAGATAAGGTGTGATATTTACATGGCAAGTATTATATGAGTGTGATAGAGACAAATTTGAGTATTTACAATTGGAAAATGGTGTTAAAATGTTGAATTAGTTTGTTTAGATCAGGTTTTAGTTTGTGTATGTGTTAGGCCTCTTTAGGTTTTAGAGAAAATTGAGTGTTGGCGGTGTCTAGGATGGTGAAACATGATCCAGTGTATTTGAATTTTTTAGTAGGTGTTTGTGGATGTGGGAGTTTTTGTCGGAAGTTATGTGTTCGTTAATCCTGGTGGGTAGATGTCGGGTGGTTTCACTAATGTAACAGGAATTACATCCTGCGCAATTAACTTTGTATTGTTTGAGAACATATTTATAACCAAAACAGTTAAATTCTTGGATTACAACCAACCTCCAGGGAATCATCAAATAATGTGGCTCGCCCACGCCGGCTGGTGCCACAATAGCATAAATAAAATATACTTTTGTATTTGACCACCAACATGGCTGTGACGTGACGTAGCATGCAATCCACCTATTGTTTGCCTACATTTTAAGTAAGTCGTTAAAATTTGCACATTATTTTATTTGTTCTCTGTCTTGTTTGATACAGGTGTGGTTTTTCTCGTCGAAACAAAGTTTCCTAGAGTAATTTTTACCTACAAGCTTAAGAATTACGACTTATTTGATCCTGACCACACTGAATCCGCATCAACCTAAAACAACCTAAAACAATCTAATCATGACTTGTAAAATAAAAAGCCAACGACCTTCAGACAGTAAAACTAAAGCATTTGGTCCTAAAAATATCGATCATGAAACAAACCTGGATAATATTTCTGAAAAAGGTTTGAACGAACAACTTTTGAAAATTCGGTGTATTGATGCAATTGCGTTTAACATGGTGGGTAGAATATATTATGACGGGGGACAGTACGACAAAGCAAAAGATTCGTTCAAACAAAGTTTAAAAATTACAACTGAAGTATTTGGTTCTGAACATGTTAAGAGAGCAACAACGTTATACAACATGGGTTTGGTCTTTTATGACACGGCAGAATACGACAAAGCCAAAGACTTCTATGAACAAGCCTTAGAAATTGAAACTAAAGCCTTTGGTACTGAACATATTAATGTTGCAACAACGTTACACAACTTGGGTTTGGTCTTTTATGACACGGCAGAATACGACAAAGCCAAAGACTTTTATGAACAAGCCTTAGAAATTGAAACTAAAGCCTTTGGTCCTGAACATATTAATGTTGCAACAACGTACAACAATTTGGGTTTGGTTTATTATGACACGGCAGAATACAACAAAGCAAAAGATTTTTATAGACAAGCTTTAGAAATTGAAACTAAAGTATTTGGTCCCGACCATATTAATGTTGCAACAACGTACAACAATTTGGGTTTGGTTTATTATGACACGGCAGAATACGACAAAGCCAAAGATTTTTATGAACAAGCTTTAGAAATTGAAACTAAAGTATTTGGTCCTGACCATATTAATGTTGCAACAACGTACAACAATTTGGGTTTGGTTTATTATGACACAGCAGAATACGACAAAGCCAAAGATTTTTGTGAACAAGCTTTAGAAATTGAAACAAAAGCATTGGGACCTGACCATATTAATATTGCAACAACGTACAACAATCTGGGCTTGGTTTACAAAGATATGAGAGAGTACGAAAAAGCAAAAGATTTTTACGAACAAGCCATAGAAATTGAAACAAAAGCATTTGGGCCTGACCATGTTAATATTGCAACAACGTACAACAATCTGGGTTTGGTTTACAAAGATATGGGAGAGAACAAAAAAGCAAAAGATTTTTATGAACGAGCCATGGAAATTCAAACAAAAGCATTTGGTCCTGGCCATGTTAATATTGCAACAACGTACAACAATCTGGGCTTAGTTTATCATGACATGAAACAGTACGAAATAGCAAAAGATTTTTACGAACAAGCCATAGAAATTCAAACAAAAGCATTTGGTCCTGACAATGTTAATATTGCTCCAACGTACAGCAATCTGGGCTCGATTTACACAGAAATTGGAGATTACGAAAAAGCAAAAGATTTTTATGAACGAGCGATGAAAGTTCAAGCAACCGTGTTTGGACCTGACCATGTTAAACTTGCGGCAACGTACAACAATCTAGGTTCGGTTTACAGTAAAATAGAAGAGTACGAAAAAGCAGAAGAAATTTACCAACAAGCTTTACAAATCAAAACAAAAATTTTTGGTTATAACCATGGTAACACAGCTACAACATACAACAATTTGGGTTCAGTTTATCTCAGCAATGGGGAATACGTCAAAGCAAGAGATCTTTACGAACAGGCTATAGACATTCAAGCCAAAGTATCTGGTCCCGATCATGTATTTTATGCTGCAATGTGCAACAACTTGGGTTTTGTTTACATGAGATTGGAAGAGTACGACAAAGCAAAAGATTTGTATGAACGAGCCTTAGATATCGATTCTATAGCTGAATTTGTCAATATGGCTGCAACGTTCAACAATTTGGGCTGTGCTTATAGTCATTTGAAAGAATATGAGATGGCAAAACATTATTTTGAACGAGCTTTATTACTCAAAACGAAAATATCTGTTCCCAACCAGCCGTTTAACAAAGGCACAATTTTGGGCAATCTGATATCCGTTTGCTCTTTGCTTGGAGAAAACAAAAAAACAAAATATTTTTCCGAACAAGCTTTAGAATTTGAAATTGGCCAAATTTATTCGTCATGTAAAGAAATTAACGAGGTTGATTCGTGTCAGTTAATCGACAATATCAAATTGTTGCCAGGTAAGCAGACAATTTTTACATATGCAATATTTAACTATGCTTGGTGATCATAGCATTTGTTTTACCATGTATTTATATTTCGAAGTCCCTTAGAGGCGTAACTATTGGTGAAATTATATTCTTTAGAAATTGAAAACAAATATTGTTTTTCTGAAAGTACTTTGAATTTATAATTAATTTTGATGAACGCTGGATCCGCTACTGTTTAATTGCTTATGGCATAAAACAAATAATATTCTGTCGACTATCACTTTATTAAATTGTTGACAATTTTCTGCATTAAAAGTAAAAGTAAATGAGATGAACCTCCTCATTATCTTTTGTTTTAATTGTGTTCGGTTCATATAAAATTCGACATTTGAAATAAGCCTAAGCTTTTTAAAAAAAAACGCTAGGACTTTTCCTAGAATTATTGGACCGTCAAATTTTTTTAGCATTTGCATTTTAGCATTAGCATTTTAGCATTTGCTGTGTCTATTCATTTCGAGACTGGAAAAGTAAACCGGGCGCACATGTCAACCGGAAACAAGGTAGAATAAAAAAGGCTTGTGATTGGCTACAGGACGAATTGCAATTTAGACAGAGGATTGTTTGAAGTGAATGATTGTTTTTTTCTTGGTAAAAAATATCAAAATGGTTTCCTTCTTTGCAGCTATAAAAAGTGGGAAACGTTACAAAAGGGGCTGGCAGTTCTTATTTTAGCTGTAATAAACACGAAAATGGTTTTTGAATGTTGATTTTGAACTAGCAAACAAATGTAATGATACATTTGACATTGAGAGGAACAGAATTCTTTTGGGGAACGTCAAAATATTATACACGATAAATAGTTTAGAGTGTTATGACAGTAACGCTGTCAGGTAAATTATATTGCAAGCGGGTGCTCGTGAAGTTGAAATTCAGCGAAGGCTTTTTTAAAAACAAGACAATATTTTAAACACAAAATAGAAGTTTGCCTATGATTTCTAAACGTGAAATGTTTTTAATGATATTTGAGCCTAAAATATTTTTATTTCATAACATTTTACTGCAGATGATATTATGTAAATCATTGTTAAAGATTTGGCAACTCCTTATATTTCAGATTCAACTTTATACGGCCTAGAATACAGAAAACAAGGTATTTATGTGTTAGTTTCTAAAAGATTTCGCTTACGTTAATGATTAAACATATTGTCCTTAGTGAATGACATTTCCAGTTTGAATTTCAAAATACATTAAAATGTGTTTAGATTTTTTTGAAACAATATGTGAGGTAAATATCTTCTTGAGAGATTTTTACAGGAATTTCTGCACATATTTTGACATAATAATTATTAGCTATAAAAAGATTTTGGATGACATTGAAACTGGCATTTAAGTGCAGGACGCAATTTACATGAGTACGATATTTGGATAATTGTCACTTTGGTCTTTGTACGTAGTTTTTTGTATTGATGTTTTTAAATTAGCGTTGTCAACCACGAGGCTGAATTTCCGTTATATGCCAAACTAGCAAAATTAAATATAAAAACATATTTTTTCAGAAAACACTGAAAATGTGTGGTCCCATTATTTTCCTTGTTTTTAAAAATAAATACGTTTTTTCTAACCAGTATTATTAATTTAGCGGATTGGGGTAGAGTTTAGGGAGGCTTAGGGGCCTCAGTCTCCTCCCTAGAAATTCTATTTAGGGTGCTTTACCCCACTGAAATTTCTCAAATTTTATCATATATTTACAGGCTCAGAAATCATAATGATGAAAATCTTAAAAAACACTTATTTGTGTTATAAAGATAACTGAATCACTGTCATTAGTTTTAATAAAGTAATACATGCAAAAGGCACTGGCAACTACAATGCAATACTGGTAACTATTGCTCTGAGCTGAAACAAAATATATAATTTCTATTGTAAATTTTTTTGCTCCTTTAGCAACTATAAACGTACGTTAATATAAAAAAAGTTCTTCATAAATGATTTCTATTGGATAATTCAATATCAATATTTCCCACATCTACTGTAAATTACTGCGCATTCCTCTAAATAGTGTAAAGAAATTGAATCTGATTGGCTGCAGTGAGCTCGAACCTGGAAGTAGTTTTATTTTAATTATGTAGCATGTATCATTTACAGTTAAATTTTTTTTGCCAATCAATTAAACATATTGTACATGCAGTTAGAAAAACATGAAACATATCGTGAATTATTTGTTGTATGTTCTTTTTCCAAGAATTGTTCTCATGTATCCAACGTGTTATATAGAATACTAATTCTGCATGCTTACCTGTCTTTTATGCCCAGTTGTTATTACAAATAAAAGATGTTTCTCTCTATTGCATCGAAATAGAAAATTGTCAGTGCATTTGTGATACCACTAATGCATACGAAATTTCATCCTCCCATTTCCAGATAGAAAAACTGCCTGGATCAGTTTGCCAACGTTACACCTCATTAGTAGCTATAACTTATACACAAATATTATTTTTGATTTTAAACCTTGTTTCTCGCTTTTCTTATTTTGGTATAAGTACTTTTACATGGTATAATTTATCCTATTGGTTAGCTGTCCATAAATTCGCTTACGTTAAAAAATCATGCATGTTTAAAAACTCGTCACTATCGACCATCTATAATCATTGTAAGATAATTACAATTTCGTAATTGCTTTAATTTTACCTACAGGCATCGACTGTACAGTAAAAGAAATGAAAGATTCAGATCTTACCGGGGATACAACTACCAAAATGAAGAAATCTTATACAATTCCAGATGATGATGTAGAGAATGACGACGATTTCTTTATCGAAAATTTTCTTGACGAATACTACGGCATTCGTGACGAAATTCATGATATATTAAGGAGGTTTGTCTCTATATATCTTTTCCAAATGTCTGGCTTATGAATATTGGGTTAAAGTACATGTTTAAAATGCTGATTTAGACTATAACCTATGTACAGGGTTTATCAAAAAGCTGTTAAATCTATAATTTGTATGCTAGAGATTATACACTAGTATTTAATGTTGTGCAACCAATTACGCTTTAGGGATTTAAAAAATGTGTTTCCCATGATTATGAAGACAAGCACACAAAGTGTAATAATATGAGTTCCATTACTAATGGCTCAGTTAAGAACAGAACAAAAATAATTGCTTGTTTCAAACGTATACGTTAAAATTCAAACTCCGTATGAACTCGTATTTGTAAATTGTGTTCATACAATTTATTTCATTAAATAGCTCTAGTTTTATGCCCCATACAGGGTGTTTCAAAACACGCTTCATCTTTTAATTCAGCCTTTTTAATTTGCATAATTCAGCAGTAATTGATCCCCAAGGAGACGTAAACATCATGGGAAGAAATTTAATGCTAGGGATTTGCAATGTGCATAAATGCAATTCGTATGTATTTGGCCTATTTCAAACGTTCAAACGTCGAAGTTGACATGTACCGAACGCATTAAAAACATAAAAATGAGATGAACTCTATTATTATCTTTAGTGTTGTATGCGTTCGATTCATGTAAAGGTCAACGTTTGAACTAGGCATTATTGTTATCAATTGAGACAGCCTAGCTGTAGTTCTAGAAGTTAAAAAATAGTGTAAAATAAATATTTATGACACGTTGCATTTTCGCGAACAACCCATCTGTGTCAATGTCTGTAATTGTGAGAACTACATATAGGCTATACTAATGGTAACTTTTCATCATGGCGAACGCTATCTTTAAGACAATATTAAGATTTTTTGCCATACAAAGACACTGTTCTTCTTTTAAATAGTAACACATGAAAGTTTGAGTAGGCCTTTCTAAACTAGTCAAATTGAAAGGATGCTCACTAAGTTACTAACTCGGCTCAGTAAATCAATGAGTAATTTGAGCCACTGTGCGTTATTTTTCCTTTTTGCCTTTAACCCTATATTAACCATAGTGACTAATTATTTCTGAAAAAAAATTTTCTTTGGTTATCACTTTATTTTTTGCATAACTAACCATACGAAAAAGAAAAAAATCATTTTATCATGTTTTCCAAGAATTTCTTTATTGTACCATATATGCTACATTGGTAAATAAGGTGTAAACTAACATTAATTATGTTCAGGTAATATATATTGTAAGTAGCCTCAAGGTTCAGTGAATAGTTTTAGTTCTAAAAAAACATAATATATGCCATTAAAACATTAATTTTAGCATGTCTTTCTATGATATGCAGTGTAGCAATTACGATTTTTGTTCAAGAATAAATGAACCTTGCACTTCCCACACATAACAAGTGAAAATCCATCCGTGCACTTTCGGCAACGTTGTCGTTTCTCTGCATAAATGGGCAAATGATCAACACCATCAAATTGAACATCTTCTACTGGTGCTGGATTTACTGATTTTTTTCTCTTCTTTCTTGCACTTTCTATTGACCGACGTCCACGTTGTGGTTTGTTTACATTACACAGGGCAAAGGCAACCATAGCTTGAAATTTTCTCAATGGCATTGCTCTGATATTAAGAATTTTGCAATCTCTTCTGTATAGGAGCCATGCATTTACCAGTGCAATTGTGAGAGTATGATAAAAGATGTAAATATACCACCTTTTGCTTCTAAGCTTATATTTGTATAGCGAACACAGCATATCCATAAGGTCAACTCCTCCCATTGATTTGTTGTAAACCGCAATAATCGATGGTTGATTAACACTAATATGCTGTTTCTTTGACCTATCATATCTCTGTACATTATTACCATCCTGATTACCAATATAGGAGGAGATCATTGTGACACACTTGTTATCATACCATCGAACCAAAGAGAGATTTCTTGTTGTCTCGACAACACTGTCCTCTGACCCTCTCCCCTGTTTTTTTAATTCTTTCTCTGATTTAAGAGGAGCCCCATGAAGACGATTGTTGTTGATTGTACCAACATAATGTAATCCTCTTCTTTCTAGTTCAGCAACCATTTCAAAATTGGAGAAAAAATTGTCAGCAAAGACTTTGAAGTTTCTTTCTGTTGGAAGAGTTGAACACAACTTCAAAACAACATTTCCACCCAATCCACATCCAGAGACACTACTTTCTTCTTCAGTTCTGGCATTCTTTCCTTGGTAAATATCAAAAACATGTAAAAAACCCTGTTGATGAACATCGAGCCCAAAGCTTGAATCCCCATTTTCTTGGCTTCTTTGGAAGATATTGCTTTAGTATTGATCTTCCCTTGAAAGCAACCATAACTTCATCAATGCATTGGTTTTCAGATGGACTAACTTTCAAAAAAGTTTGAATTTAAATCATCACACCATCGCCTTATCTTCCAGACTTTATCATTCTTATTTTCCTCCGTTACTGTTAGGTTGTTAGCAATGTGCATATAGGAAGCAAGCTTTTGAAACCGCTGTCTTGACATCACATCAGCTATTGGATTATAATGGATGTATGTTTCCCAATAGCAACCAACAGCAGGCATTTGCACCAATCCCATATGAAAAAACAGACCCACAAATGTTTCAAGTTCACATGCTGATGCTTGTAGTGAAAACCCTGCTTTTGATGGGCATAATGATTGATTCTTCAGCCAAATATTCAAACATGTTGCTGGTCACAAAATATTTGAAGTAGTTGTAGGGACTGTCATCTTTGGGTTCAGGTTGAAGTGGTGCATCTGTGAATTCAAGATTTGAAGGTGGAACAAATGCTCTTCGCTTGTCAAACTTATATAAATTTTTTGGTTTTTCTTTTCTTCTTGCAGTTGAGCCATGGGGCACTTCTTCAGAAACTGTAGCACGATGATCAATGCTTGTACCCTCATCATCAGGAATGGTAGCCGGGATATCCATGTTATCATCATGTTGTTTGGCAACTTGGCTGTCATCACCAGGTGGTTGCCATTCATCTACTTCATCATCACTAGATAAATCACTCAACTCACTCTCTGAACCAATAACATAATCAATGATCTCACTTATATCTTCAAAGCGATTTGACATCTAAAAAAACATATATGGATCAATACATTTATAAAATGTATCAACTAATATTTAGAACAAACCATAGCCATAGTATGAAATTTCATTCTATACAGTAGTTAATATGTTAAAAGTATCATAAGATTGATTTTAAATAGGCAATATTTCAATAAATTTAACAAAAACTCAACTTACAATAAATACTTCATGTAGTTCGTTTTATCAATTATTGACCAATGTAGCAGATTTGGAACAAGGATTTTCATTGAAAAATTATGAACATAAAGATGCATTTATTCAGAACAAAAGATGAAACAAAATGTCTAGAGAAGGCCCTTGTTTGAAAATATCAAAGGTTTTGGAACAAATCATCATATTTCAAAACAGTAAATGCAATTAAAATTGCCTCAAATTGTCGCATGCCTTCTTTCGTGATCCGCCATGTTTGATTTGTAAAAATAGTAGCTGGGGGTTACATGCTTTATTAATATAAATTAGCATCAAACATGTAGCAAAAATCTACACTGGTGAATAAAGTTAAAAAATATTGCAAAATTTGTAGGAATTCTTTAGTGTTGCCCAATGTAGCATATTTGCTACAAGGGTTAATATAGGGTTAAACTACAAATCAAGTGGCAAATTTCTGTAATAACATCATCAACAAAATGATTAAACGCTAGCATTCACCTCTGAACAACTTTTTTGTATTGTGTAATTAGTGTGATTTTAATATTTACATGAAATGAGTGGAGATTTTGTTAAATTAATCCGAATAATACGTGTTGTGTGTATTGTGGCTAACTTATTAAATGACATATTTGTAGTTTTTCTTGGATTCGTGGTGGATATGGTGTACGATGGAAACCTCGTCTTTCTTTGTATGTGACAGTGGCAGCTGAAAGAAAAAATGATGAAGATGCATTAAGAAAAGAAATTGATGAAACTTTTAGATGGAAAGCTTCTCCTTACTTTGAATTTGAACCAGAACCAAAGAAATCGCGATTTCGATGGTTATCAGACCTAGAAGTAGTAAAAAAAGAGAACAGTTTTAATCCTTTGACAGGAAAAATTGACGATGAATGTGAAACAAGAGCAAAAGGTACAGTCACAATGTTTTGTATAGATGAAAGCAAACATTACGCCTTGACTTGCTTCCACACTAGCTGTATTACTGACCGACGAGTAGCTGGTTACGAATTTAATTTTTCCGAGGACTGGAAAGAAATAAAGCAAATATACGAGACAATTTCTACAGGAGAAATAACAGACGAGAACGAATATTATTATCTTCCTTTAATGGATGACGAAATAAAACTTGGATCTCCTTGTCGTCAATCATTTAACGAAAACACTGACATTATGGCCATTGAAGTTATTGACGAAGAAATGATTTCTTGCGACCATTTTACCATCGAGGAGCCTGATTGGAAAGAATTACGGAAAAGAGTTGCAGATCAACTAAGAAAAGGAGGAGCCAGTGTTACAAAATATGATGGTGGCGCAACAGGAGAGATTTTGGATATCGCCTTTACGCTTACATGCCCAGAAACTGATCGTTTTATATTTAAGAACGTTATCGCCATTAAATGCGTACGTCCTTTTCTGAAAGAGGGAGATTCCGGAGTGTTAATATATTTCTTCGATAAAGTCACGGAATGTCAAATAGCTTTTGGGTACGGAGTTTGCGCGCATGAACGAGATGATGAAACAATTTATTTAGTCTTTGGACTAAACGATGCATTAAAGCATCTAAATTTAGAAAAATGCTATTGCTACATGTAGGTATGAAGAAACTATCTCAATTTAGCTATAGTTTGAACTGCTTGATAATTTGTTTTAATTTTGACTTAACATATAATTGTTACGTGACTTGACGGTTCCATAGGCTGATAGGGCACGGCAGCAGAGACGAAAGCTGCCCTCCCTTTGATTTTTTTCAAAAATTGGAGAAAGTCGGATACTTTTAGACAAAAGTGGCAGAGACTCTTCGCAAATTTTTTTGCCAAGATAGAAAGAATGAAATTTGCCAACTTTGCAAAGATAGAAAGAATGAAATTTGAAATTTTAGTTGGAAAATTTTTATGTCTGTCTCCTTTAGGTTTTTGTCAAACCTATTTTAGTTAGTTTAAGCGCATATAATCTATGAACATTCTCTTGTAAATAATTAACTTGGTCAAGAGGATAGATAGCTTAAATTTGATGAAACATTGCTACAATTGAAAAGATTGTTACTTATCAGAAATGTCTTTACGACCTTTTCTTGCACGTACCATGTTAAACATAAAAATCAACTAGCATGCTGGTATGACATCAACGATCATTCTTTCAACGTGTTTCAAGTTGTTGTCATCCTCTCTTCTACCACATCAGTAGTTTTGATGCACTAGTTTTCACAGCACAATACGTTCCTAAGCGAGTAACTGATTACTCTTCTCTCCATCATTGAATCACGTGTATGAAAATATCATTACAGTATAGGGTGTAAATATAATTTCGCACAGATATACAGGTTGTTTAAATAAGACGACCCTTAGAAATTAAACATATTGTGATAGTTTCACTACCCCTCACGGCTGCATAAAGTATTGCCAGGACCTGCAATAATTTCAGATCTTTATTACCATAAAAGCTTTTCTGCATTCGGAAATTTAACATAACTTTCAACATGCAGAGTAATGAGGGATGTTATGACAGTGATCAGGGATGTATTGCAATCGCTAATTGGAGGGGGGGGGGCTCTAATTCATATATGCATGGTATGCTGTATTAAATTCTTCTGAAATGTATTGTTATCTACTGATCATAACATGCATCTATGATTAAGAACCCCTTCACCCAATTAGCAATATCAATATATCCCTGACAGTGATGTTCATGCAAAGCCTTCAAATTGAAATCTTTCAGTACAGGGGCGGATCTAGGGTATGTCAAACCACTCACGCGACTGATGTTTTATAGTTCAAAAATTATCAAATTTAATGATTACAATTTTTTGATCATTAAATTTTCGTTCTGTAATCGTTTCGATTTCATCGTTCAAAATTTTGTTTTATTTAAGAAAACTTATAATAAATACCACCTTAATAAACAGATCAGTAGATTTTAACATATTTGGAATTATATTAACTGGCTGACTGATAAGCGGGGTGGCTCGACTGACTCGACCGATAACGGAGTTCAAGAACGCTTATTTAAGCCATTCCATTGGTCAATAACCAGATTAGTGGACGATCTGGAATAATCTCGAATTGAATGTTTGAACGTTTCATAGTAATTTTCTAATGCAATATAGAAACTACAATCAGATGGAATTTAGGGAAACCTTTTACAAATTCATATATTGACATGAATGCTGCTGTTCAGGCTGTGAATTTTTTCAAGAGGGTGAAAAATTTATGGATGAATTGTAAATGCTTGGCAAAGACGATCTCGCAAGAGACATTTCAGTCATTGATGTTCAAAAGCAAGCTATCATTGTTTAGAGTTTTCTCAGCAGAAATTTACATCCAAAATCGTAAGTAAAGGACAAGTGAAGTGTATGCATGAATGTAAAATATCAAAGTCAATTTATGCGAGTACGTGATGCGATTTATGTTAATGTGGCGTATGGTAAGCAGATTGATCCTTCTAAAATTGTTGTTGCCGAACGACTTTTAGCTATGATTTCTTTAGTGCTTGAGGAGTCTTGGCCTATATTCCTTCAATTGTATTTCAATGGACGAAAAATCTGTTGCCATAAGGTGCTATGCTATTATTTACCTTATTATAAACAAATGTTTGGGGCTTTTCAGTGTATAATCATTGATCAATCATTCAATCATTGCACAGTAATACTACACATTGTTTAAGACATGAGAAAACTAATATTGATTAAACGAGAAGCTGTTTACTATAACCTGTGATTATGAGTCTTTTTCATCCATGAAGCTTTTTATTTTGACAATTTGACTGGAATGGTATTAAACCTGAGTATTTCACATACATGAAATGTTGTCCCATGTCACATACTGTCCCCTTTTCTAACTGAACACCTCATGTAGAGATGTCAAGGTGTGTTGATCTACGGCTCATACCAGATTGTTTGCCATAAATTCCTAAGGGATGTCGATGAAGGAAAAACATTTTCCATAAAGTAAAAATGTGTTCCTATGTATGCAGATAAACCTTGAAATTTGGCAAAAAGGCAAAGTATTTTTCATAACCACTAGGTAATTTTTCTGATGATCATTATAATTTCTAAACTAAATTATTTCAGATTTACATTTAGCTAGTTTTGATTCTACGAAAACATAATTATCGTAACCAGTAAGCATGACACATGAACCAATTTCAACATTCATGTAATTATATGATTAAAGGTATGTTAACATTAATGCATTAAGCTGTTCTTAATTGCAAATTTTCACTCTGATAATTTTAGTTTAATCTTAGGCAGAAAAAAATTTTGAGTTTTTTCTCAAAAGGTGAATTAGCTTGCACTGTATGTGGAGATGGGTAAAGGGTTACAATAAACTTGCATGTTTAATGTCTCAGCTTTTCTACATCTATGAACTGTCCCTTGTAGTACCTAATTTCTAACTTAACTCATTACATAGAGGTGTGAATGGGGGTCTCTAGAGGGGTCTATGCCTGACAACTTGATAGAAATTTTTAAAGACAATTTTTTTTTTTGGAAAAGCATTATTGTAAAGTAAATTTTATGTTCCTAGGCATGCCTTATATTTGGCATGATAATAAGCCTTAACATTTTGCAAAACATTCAAGTATTATTCACTTCACAGTTTTTTTATAAAATATCGTAAGCAAAATGTGTTGTTTTTACGCAAAAACCATGCCACAAAAAACATTTTGTATTGCTCTAAAATGCTGAAAATGGCATTTCCGAGGCTTTGAAATTCAAAACTTTCCGTGGGAGTAAGGACCTCCTAGGTGGGGAACGCCTCAGGCGTTCCATGACTGATGTTTGAAAAATCCTAGATCCGCCCCTGTTTCAGTCTATGTTTTGACTTTCGGACAATTGCTCAGATAACATGGATAACGGTGGATAGCCATGTTGTATGTCATGATAGAACCATCGGGAATCTTAAAAACCTTGCAAAATCTTAAAATTAACTTGCTATGTGATTCTGTGCGTACCTCTACATATCTTCTGCAAGCACTGAACTTAATTTGTCGTAACTCAAAGTATATTAACTTGTTTTCATGATGTCATTAACATGTTCTTTGTTTTTTTTTCAGATGCAAAAGTCGAAGAGGAAGAATAGAATCAAAAACAAGGCAGAGATGTGTGTATTTTGAAGTCATTAACAACTTTTAGTGTTTGATTTCAAATACGAGGAGCGACGATGAAGAACATGATCAAAAAGAGACAGATAGAGGTGCATGCATATGATTGTTTTCAGCCTGTCATGAACTTGTTCTTTTGTAATCATTTAGATGCAGGAGATGCCGATGATGTAAAAAAAGACCGAGGTATTTGTTTTTCCTGTATACTGTCACTAAGTTGTTCAACTTCTTTCTGTGAGCTCAGAGATCAATTTTTTGTATCGTAAACGTCGACATTTTCGTGAACATTATTATTTGTTAAGATAAACAAAGTACTTATCTTTGATTCTTCGGGGGGTTTTTTAAAATCTTACAAAACTTTAGAATTTGAAAAGAATTAATTCTCGTACATGCGCTTTATCAAAAGCAATCACATCACATCTACACAAAATTTTGTAGATGTATTTTGCCTAGCTGTTTAAGGAGTTCTCTAGCTCTTTAATTTAAAACGAAAGTAAGAAATAAAGTGTTCCAAACTAGGCTTTTTCCACTTATTTTGGAATAGGCTGCATAAATTTCATGGCTAATAATGATTCAACAATAAAAGTATATATTAAATGAAAGCGTTATGGAGTGTCGTCACAGTATAGTGAATATACAGTAGAGCCGCTTAATTGAATTTTTTTGTTTATCTTGTTAAGAACGTGATTACTATTGTGACAGCCAGTCAAATGCTTTTCTTGACCAATACGAATGATGAAATGGCTGACGTCAGCCAGTAATCTAAGTAAATATACAGCATTAAATTGCACACGAAGTGGACCTACTGTATAT